GATGTGATGTGTGTGTATGTGTGTGTATGTGTGTGTGGGTGTGGACCTTGGTAGTAGCACATTGGTATATGCATGTGTCACTGTGTGCAAATATATATATGTGAGTGTCCCTGTGTGAGAGAGAGTTTTCTCGTGCTTTTGTACAACTGAATTTCCGAGTCTGCCCTGTGTGTGTATTTGCGCGTACATGTTTAAACAGCTGACCGCATTTGTACCTGTATATCATACCTGCCACGTAAATATACTGTTCTTTCCCCGCTCTTGCCGTTCATCCACGCTGTCACGATACATATACATATATGTATTTAGTACACACACCTGCATGTGTATCTATCCTCGCCCATAGACCAATTCCGTCGACTACGCAAGCCAAGATGTGGTGGGTGGGTTATCAGTTGGCGACGAGGATGATGTCACCGCACACCACACAGTCGACATGGCTTACACTGTCTATCCGGAAGACGAGAAGGTACCACCAAGAAAACTCTTTAGAGAAGTGCTGATGGTTGTAAAGTAGTTTGTATATACTGTCTCGCTGTGCATGTACGAGTGCTCATGGTGGATATGTGTATGTATCAATACTTCTGGGGGGGGGGGCGTACGTATGCATGGAAGCGCGTGCATCGAGCGCACGGACTTGGGATATGTTATCGTACTGAAATATCGTCAGTAATTGTTTCCAACATAGCTTCATCTGATAACCTATCTGTTGTGGCTGGTCATACGATTGAAATTTTCGATACCGAGCAGTCGTAGGTGATTGTGTAATACTATTATGTATAGCAATACGTCAATCATTATATGATATTTGGCTTTTATTACTTGTCAATCGAATACTATATGCTCCTATGAAAGCTTGTATAGTAAATATTGAAGGAGTTCTCCCTACCACGTACTCGTGTGTCCTTAAGTGATGCCAGTAGTGTTTATTCATCTGTACACGTATCATGCATCATATAATACACGGTGTAAATACTTGACCATCCTGCCCTCCTACAGATGTACAAACAAACTGCCCTCCCAGTTATCTTGGCGGACAATGCTGCCAAAGGCTACGATGTGTTCGACTTCGATGAGCATACTTTAGCTTTATATAGAGCACACTGCGATGTATATGTGGCTGGCTTTTAGTATGTTTGGTAATACCAGGATAAAATAAAGACGGCCTAGATCAAAGCTTACGGCTTGTTTTGATATCTGAGATGCGTGTGTGCACATTGCGATAATTTGAATCAAATGAAACAAACGGCCTTGTTGATTGTACCAGAATAATGTCGGTACATGCATTCAAATATATAAAT